ACTTATCTTAAGATACAATTAAATAAATTTATTTTTTAAATTTAAAGAAATAAAGACATTACATAAGACTTTTAGAAATTATTATTTTTATCTATTCTCCTGTTTCACAAACTAATCCAGAAGTAACAGTCAAAACACTAAAATTCTTCTAAGACATCCAAATAGAATATTAAAAATTATCAAAGTTAAAATATGATCAAAATGCTGACCTTTTATTAGAGGCTATGATGTCTTCACAATAAAACAATGATTAAAATTTGTACAATATTTACTGTGTCTTGTAGTGTATTTAAAAGCTTCTAGCCCTCTGGTGGTCCTTTTGGTTAATCTTGACATCACTTTGCATAAAGTCATACATGAAGAGAACATTACCCCAGGAGTTTATTTTTTTATATTTAATGTTCTCTTTATGTATGACCTTATAAATAAATTTAATTACAAACTTGGTTTATTCAAATTAGGGTTTCTCATTTCCCGGTATTTTGCTTGTCCCGGGATCCCGGGAAATTCCGGGATAGAATTAATTATTTTTAAGGTATACAAAATATCTTGAAATCAAATGATATAATTATTTTCCATTTTTTAAAGTAATTTTAAAGTTTTGTAACCTCCAAAATCATATTAATAATGCTGTGTTAGGTCTATAGGCCTATAATAAAAATTACCTTTAAATAACGTAGAAATTTTCACAAATAGAAAAAAATTAATTAAAGTTTGCTGGAAACTGCATACAACAACAACAAAAAAAATGTTTTGAATTGAGTTAAAAATTAAAAAAATGAACTTCTAATTTAGAAGGTAATTTTCGTTTTTTAAATAAAATATAATACAAAATATTGCAAACTTTTATAAGATTTTAAAAAGCAAAGATGGTCAATACTCCGATAACTCACTCTAATTCTTATTTTAGTAATGAAAAGTCTTGCCACCGAGAATGCCCTTTCCGATTCAATTGATGTGATTGGAATAGTGTTTAATGCATTTAAGAGAAGACAGATATTATGTGTTTTTTCACCTGTAGCCTGGAAGCTTTCGAGTTCGTTTTCGAGATTGTAGTACTTCTTTCGCTCTCTAGTATTCTTGATTTGTCTACCTTGGCTGCTTTAATAGCGGCATCAAGCTTAGAGCTCGATAATTCGGCAATTCATTTGGCTTTAATAATCAGGTTTATGAAGAAAAACTTCATACTTGCAGACTTTGTACTCGTTTGTATCCTTGCCCAATTTGCACAATCTGGCGTCAGGCATTTATTGAAGCTACTGGGCATGGTTAAAACTCAAGACAGCGTAAGCACAATTATTCCAGATATTACAGGTTCCGACAAGTAAAGAATTTTTATAGTCATGCCACAAATAAGCTATATATTGATTATTGACCATTTGTGACATGCTATAACGAGCAAAAATTTAAAAAAACTAATAGGTAGGTTTAAAATTAATAAATACAAATGTATTCTGGCAGTGAATGAGTTAATTATGCTTTCTATTTGCAAAACTCCTCAACCTTAACACAAAATAAGAAAAAAAGTGAATTTTTAAGAAATTTGCGGGATTTCCCGGGATATTTCCCGGGTTAAAAAAACAACCGGGATCCCGGAATCCCGTTTCAGAAACCCTAATTCAAATCTCTACTACAATATATCAGAATAACTAACAGTTACCAGATCCTATGGAGATGGGAGCTACGTTACTGACTGTTTGAAATGAAAGGTTGCTACATTTATAAAAAGGTCATTTTTTTTTTTGTATCAAAATTTTTAAAGGTCGATAGCTATTTTGCCACTTAATCGAGCAATAAAAAAATATATAATTATTCAAAGTAAAAATTTATTTAACAAAAACAGTTAAACAATTACAATTAAATCAATTAAATCTTCACAAGGTATGAAGATGGTAACATTCTTACAAATTAAAAACTTCAACAGAGTGCACAAGAAAGTAATGTTAACTTAATAGAAAAAATAGTTATAAATTTGAAAAGTATAAAGAAGAACTGAAATATGGTAAACAAGATTTGTATATTGTATTTTCATGTGGATATATAAAAATGAGAAAATTTCTATTTTTGGCTTATTTGGACACAGCAGTTTGCTGCTACAGTCCTCAAAAAAACTTGCTATCTTGCTGATAGTTTGCTACAGTTGGCAATAAGGTACAGAGAGACACGGTGTGGGAGTTGGACTGGACTACAGCGAAAAAAACATGGCAACTCTGACAAATTTCTTTAATTCTGCTTAATAAATTTGCTGAATTTTACAAAATATTAATAACTGGAAGAAAATGTATTTGGAAATTATCTCTTTTTTTCTTACACAATCAAAATTATAAAAAAAAAATAAATAGTATTATACAATTATTTATGATTTTTGCACTATTGCTATTTTAGGCTAGTTTATTAACACCAGCACTCTAATTGGAAGCATATGGAGATGTAAAAGGTAATTTTGAGGGGTTCATAAAAATAAAAAAATTTTGAAAAAATTTTATTGATAAATTATTTGAGTTTTCTTGTATTAGTTAGGCAAAATTATAAATATATCATTTCTAAAATCATAAAATGTTTTAAAATTTAAATATGTCCATTGATATTACACTCACTGACAAATAGTTATGCATCAAGAAAAAGGCATTGGAATTAAATTAGTTGCAAGGCATTAAGGCATTGAATTAAACTGTTAGTGTACTCATAATAACAACAACAGTAATAAGTGATTACAGTATCATAGCAAAAGGATAATTTCCTATGGAACAACAGTACAATTTAAAGAAACCTTTAGTACTTTGTAGGACTTCTTAAGTGGATATAAGTGGTGATATGGTTGGACATAGAGACAGGGACACTGTATATAGCATACAGATTTGTTCATGGTTTCCAGATCTCTCAAATCATAGATGGCTGAAGCTGGTGTCTCATCTGGTCCCACAAATCTTGATGAGTAACAAATCTCGAGACCAGGTAGACCAGGAAGTATGGCAACATGATTGGGACATTTCTGGGAAATCCTGGCTGTGTGTGTGTGGTTGAGCATTATCTTGCTGGAAAATGGCTGTTTGCAAACATCATAAAAGACAACATAAGAACAAACAGGATTTTATGAACAATCACTATACTATTAATGTCTCCTATATGACTATTAGAGGTGATCAAGTATCATATGAAATGACTCCCATGACCAGCATGCCAGTAATGAAGAGTGTGCTATTCAAAAGTAAAGATGAGATTGAAACATTCACCAGTGGTCCTTCAAACTTTAACATGGTGCTGTTATTCCTGAACACAATTATGGTATTTCAACAAATATGATATACTACAGTTTCATAGCAGTTTGTCCTTTTCTGTTACAGTTCCACTATAAATGAGGCTGATGGTATTAGGATGTTAATGGCAGGATACACAGTGGTTGCCATACACGCAAATTTATCTGTGCTAGTTGCCTGCAATGGTACAGAAAGAGACAAGGAGAGGGATCATAGTGAGGCTTTCATCTATCTCTGGATGATGAACATTAAGTCTGTTGCAGTTGTTTTGCTTGTCTTGTGATCATGTGATCCTCTATGCTGTTAAACTGTTTGAGGTATACAGAACATGCCTGCCATGTACCGTACATGTTCTCTGTGTCCACTGCCTCCAATATGTTTTCTCAGTTAGGTCAAAATGGCCATCCTCCTTTCCTGAGCCCAATATCAAACTTAAATTAATATCTGACTGCATCATACAGACATACCTAGTATTCAAAGACCTCCAAATAATAAGTACACTGAAAATCTGAACAGTCTGCTCAACAACTCTGCAAGCTTTTTTACAGGATATTGAGGTAGTGATTTTAAGGCACTCTGATGGTATTATCTGCAATGTAATTGGACCACAGTTGTAATAATTTCTGTATCTGTCTGGGACATAGATGTATACTGAGTTTATAATAATTAGACAATTCTCTGTATGTGTGTAATGTTTTGCTGATAATGATCCCTTTTCGAGGCCTATCCTTAGTGTTATTGTTACAATAACACCAGGATAGGTTTCCTTAACAATTAATGTTTGTTTTAAATTTTTAAAATTAGCCATGGAATTTTGTTTTAAAAATTATTTGCAGCTGTCTATAAAAGAAGTGTCTGCATTAATTGTTGGAACATAGATCAAATTGTGATCATATTATATTTATTTATTTTTTTTACCTAATTTTGAATGGTTTTTAAAATATGATCATCTAATGCAACAGAACAACAAATAAATCTTATTATACATGTAAACATGTGTTGCAAATATTAGTGAGTTAAGTCACCAGTCAGATTTCTCTAATTCTTAAATCCAAATCATGACATGTATTAGAATTGACATGTGAATAATGATTTTAACTGAACTTCTTGGTTAAATCTTGTAGGCTTAATTTAATATGGTAAATATAGCTTTACTTTAAGTTTAAACACAGAAAGCTTTCTACACTCAATATGGAAAATTGTTTATTAGCTATTATAATTGTGTATATAAATTTTATGTATCCTATATTTTGTGAGGATAACAGCTTCTTTGAGATGTAAGAGACAGAATCTCAGGGCTGTCCTTAACAATGTAATAATTTATTGTAATTGTGGTTTATTTATAAAATATTTAAAATTTATTTTTGTTGTTGAGAGAGATAAAATTTCCTAGAAAAATGCTTTTAAAAAATTTATAATTAAAATTGGAAAATTTATCGTAACCAAACTGTGAATTATATGATATTAATTAAAATTTTATGTTACTTATGAATTTAAATATGAATATAAAACTTTTTGCTCATTTTGATAATTTTTTAAATTTAAGATATTTTCCTGATTATTAATTACATAATCTTGGATAATCATATACTATTAAGACAAAAAATAATTTTATGATTTAATAAGAGTTTAGTTAATTTATTGTCAATTTGTTTTTGTATTTTTATTTCTGTTTTGTGAATTAACATTTTAAATTTCATTATATATAACCACTGTTATAATGTATATATTTTTTCATTTCAGTTTTATTGATAGAATTAAAAATTTAACAGTGAAATATTTACAAATGAAAAATATTTAAAGGAAGAACCCATTATAGAAAGTTTAACTTAATGGAAGCTTTGCAAGTAAGTGTTGTCATATATTTTGTGTTAAAATGCTAATTTTAGATGAATTGGAAGATATTAATCTCAAATTATTCGAAAGTAGTAACTAAAGTGATGATATCATTACAAACTAGAAAAGAGGCCTGTGTGTGTGTTTATGTATATACAGTAGAGCATTGATTATCTGAAACAATTTGGGACTGGGGTTTTCAATAACTGATCATGTATGGAAAAATATATTAACCTATCCCATGTTGACATTTTTTTAATAATAATCATGGCTATTGTATTGTTAAAAATTATTTCTTTATTTTGTACAAACAAAATAAATATATTGAAAAATAAAAAAACAAAAAAATATATATTTCAGAAGTTAATCTAGTATCAAAAATGTTCAAATGCAGAAACAAGTTACATACCTTACATAAAGTAGGCCTACAGTTTAGGAAAAGAAGTCCAAAATTGTCTTTTGCTTTACAGCTGAGACTTTTTTTTTTTTTTGCCGCTAAATCTTGCACACATGTTTTAAAGACAGCAATTGGATAGCATCACATTCTTCTTGCTATTCTAACTGCTTCATAGCTGTCTTAGGGCAGTGAAAAGCTTCCTCACTGGATGATCCTTTTTTCAGCATGGTCATCATTGTTAGGCTCTTCCTCATCGTCACAAGGGTCTTGGTTGTCGACGGCACTGGCAATGATTTCATCATCTGACAATACTTGATAGCCAGGGTCATCAACATCACACTTGAGCAAATCTTGAATGTTTTCCTTATCACATTTTACAAATGCAGAACATTATTTTATCAGCCCAAACAGTTGTGATACAAATTGGCTGTTTGGTGACTCTTCAGGTACAGTGATAGACTCATCTGATGGTAGGAGCTTATTCTAAGCTGTTGCTAGTGTAGTGTCCTTGACAGTAGCCCAAATATCTGCTGCCATGTACATAGCATCCTTTAAGTTAATTTCAGTGTATACCTTGCTGAATTGTTTTTTCACATTCTTCCTCTATTATTACCATATGCAGCAATGCCTTTCTGTAATATCGTTTGAAGTGTTCAATGACCCCCTGATCCGCCAGTTGGAGGACTGAAGTAACGTTGGGAGGCAATAAAATAACTTTAAACTTTCTGTTTTCTCTTTCCAATGAAATGTTTGAGGGATGACTTGGGGTGTTATCAATCAACAACAAAACATTTCCAAAATTCCCAGTTTTAAGCTGATGCTTTTTGACTTCAGGGATAAATAGTGTCATACTGTAAGGAACCAAATCCGAGCATTATTTTTAGTTATTTTTATTTTGCTTTTTATTCTATTTTTGTTTGGGCTTATGTTTTGTTAGGATGAAGGTTTCCTCACCACTCACCTTAGAAACGTAAAACAGAAGAAAGAGAAACCACCTCACCGAGAAGAAGCGCCATAGAAAAAAAACTCGTGCACACTTGCACTCCCGAGTGGAAAAAAGTAAGTCCGCACTGAGAAGAGGGGGAGAGACCCCACAAGCACAACTCAGGAACTTGCTAAACCTTAAAGAGTAAAACATCCCAAAATATTGTCAGAAAGAATAATGTAAAAGGTTAGCGAGTATTGTCGAGAAATAGGCTGTCAGGCAAAAAGGAAAGTTCAATGTTACAGGTAAGTATGTAAATGAGAGGGGAGTGGTCTCAATCAGAATTGTGATGTCACCTCATAGTATAAAGCCCATACCTCAAGCAAAGATGAACGAGGTGAGCTTCGTAGCAACGAATGAGAGAGGTGTCCAATAGCGATAAGGTTGTTCCAAGGAGTTTTGAAGTTATTCGATTTGTGGATCGAAGATTGGAAAAAGTCTTGAGAGTTGAGGAAAAAGGTTCTTAGTATATTGAGGATCCAGTTAGGACCTTAGTTCAGAAGACTTGCTGTACATAGGTTAAGTCTTTGAATTTTTTTGTCGAATTCCAAAAGGGAATAGATTTAAGTTAGCAAATAGATTGATTTGAGTTTTGTTGGATTGATTCTTATTGTTGATCATCATCTTTGAATAAATTGTTGTTTGATTGTTACTAAATTTTGTACATAGTTATTACTAGAATTATTATTAAATATTGGATTGTTTTTTTGACTAACTTTTTCATTATTTCTTTCGGTGCAAGCTTAAAGTCCAGGCCTGGCACATTAACGTGAATCTGCATAAAGTACCCATTAGGTAACTGCTATTTCCGGCACACAGTTCATGTCGATGATCGTTGTAAAAGGCGTAAAAATAACTTAGTACTTTACAATACCATTCTATAAAAATGGTTATATCATCAATGAATTCTTTTGATTTTTGAAGGTAACTGGCAATTTTTTTATTCCTTTAAAGCACCATGGATTTTAGACTTTCCTACAATTAGCAAAAGTAGCCTGTGTGTTCCAGTAAACATTCCACATACCATAAAAGTGATGTGTGATTTACTTGCCTTAAAACCAGGTGCTGACATTTCATTCTTAGAAAGTATGGTTTTTGTTGGCATCTTCTTCCAGTACAAACTAGTTTTGTCTGCATTGTAGACATTGTTTTTTTTCTAGTCCTCCTTATCAATCATGTTTTTAAAAGACACTTTCAAATGTTCAGCTGATTCAGTATCAGCCGACAGTTTTCACCCTGTATGTCCAATTCCCTAATTCCATGCCTAGATTTGAAATGCATAAGCCAGCCAGTAGTTGCTTTAAAATCAGTATTACCCTCTAGTTTCTTGTTCATTTCAAGAGCTTTTTCACAAATCAAAAGGCCACTTATTGGTTGTCCTTGGCTATGTACCTGCATAAACCATGTGTAAACTGTAGTGTCCAAATCCTGGTTTTCTGCCATTTTCATCATTTTCTGTGCAAGCTTTCATCTTCACTGTCAAGTACACGCTAAAATTTTTTAATAGCATCACTGGTCTTTTTAATGTTTGATATTGTGGCATTTCCAACTCCATTATTACCTAGCTAAGCTTGATCTACTAGCACCACTCTTCAACTGATCTATTATTTTAACTTTATCGGAAACACCGAGAACAACATGTTTACATTTAGTCACCATTGCGAATGGTACAGCAACTACAGCATGATCTGTTACAAGTGTGGAATTCACAGATCCAAAATTAATGTCCCTGATGGAAATGGATTTCAATTCAGCATGACACACATTCTGACACACAGTCCTCATAAAAACATCTCACAAAACAAGCAAAACTCACCACTCACGATGGGGAAGAAAGCCTTGTTCAAATGCTGGCGCGTCCTTAAGTGCTATCTCATGGTTGTGCCAGTGCTGCCAGCTAAAACATGCACACCAACAAAAATAATAATGGAGTAGCCCAAGACATAGCCAAATATTGCAGCGCCACTGCAGTAGCGGAAATTTGAATTTGCTGACTGGAACGCTTTCAGTTAACCGATGTTTCGGTTGATCAGTATTCGGATAATCAATCCTCTACCTGTCTGTCTGTATGTATGTATATATGAATGCATGCGTGCATGTATGTATATATGAATGCATGCGTGCATGTATGTATAGAGGTACTCATAAAGTAAATTTCAGTTATGCATATAGCTGTAATGATGGGATAAATCAAGTTTTGTCATTAAATCCCTGTTCTAGAAGGTGAGACATATTAGCAATATTTCTGCATTTATCAGACAATCATAATTATGTCATCAAATAAGAAAATCCAAAAACTCCACCTACTGGAAGAAAAGGTGGTATTTTGCTGAGTAAATTCCTGAATCAATGAACAAAAATAAACATAGGTGGAATTAAGCGACCTTAAAAAAATTATGACAAACTATTCAAAACAAGCGGTGAAACCTGTATATGATATATTATTTCATGGAAGCATATAATTGCATATTGTCCAACATAGGTCCATTTGAGATACACTTTTTCTGAAAAATATTTATTACCATTTTATACCCTCACCATTGAGCCCTCCAACTTCCACCAGTTTCTGCACTTGAAGACACTGTTAGCAGGATAATAATTTTACAATATTGAAAAGATGATTAGTTATGCAAGATTAATTAAGAATCTGGTCTGACTTTTTAATGAGAGAATAAGAGTTTGTGCAAATGTATGAAAAATTTTTCAGTCTTAGAGATTATTATGTTTAAAGATATATGTATAAACTTTTGACAATAAATGAATGTCCAAAATATTTTCTTGTGTTTAAAAAAGAGAGCTGGAAAAATAAAAATTTTTTTTTTCTTTGGATTTTATGATTGGTCAGAACTTGCTTTCCAAATGCCCTTTGTGCACATGCATGTATGTATTTATTTATTATGTATTATTATTTTTTGTATTTATTAATTTATTTTGTTGTTTTCTCTATCTTCTGCTTCATATCTTACATAATGCTGTTACAATTTTTTTAATTGTTATAGGACAATACGATTTATAGTTTAGATTTTTATCCACATTGCAGCATTTTTGTATGGTTTTATATTAAATACATTTTTTCCGAGATTTATAGTTACGTCTAAATAATTAATTTCATCTTTAGTTTCTGTTTATCTTTCAGATTTTAAAGTATCGCTTAATGTATTCGCATAATTACATATTATATTTTCATAGTTATTGACGAATCATATGTTATTACGATGTCATCCACATATCTACCTATAAATATTATTTCATTTAAATCTGCTCATTTCTTATTTATTTCAATAATGCATATATCTGCAAGTTTTGGGCCAATTACTGTGCCATGCTAATATCATTTTTTGTCTATATATTTTTTCATCGATACGAAAGGAATTATTCACAAAACTATATTTTATTAACTCTAGTAATCAGTTATGTATGTCTGGATAAAGTAGATTAAGATTATGTATTACTTGAAGAGGTGTGCATGAAACAAAATTTGCAACCGAAATGCATTGTAATGTAATAAAGGCTAAGGTTTGTGAATCTGAGTAGTCTTCTCTCTGATAGAATGCGGTTATACGTTTAAAAACTAACGGTTATCTTCTGTCTTACTCATTGAAGTGTTTTTATTTTTGAAGAAGTTTTCT